AAGACAATGAATTTTGATAAGCAATTGGTACATACAGAATCCCATGAGGACGAAGGCTCCAGCAATGATAACAAAGGTTTGGACAGTATCTGTATACATCAATGCAGCCAGTCCTCCTACAGAGACATTGCATGTCACATTTTAACGCATTAAAAGATTATTTGTTTCAAAAAGGCTATTTAATATCTATATAACATATTGTCTGTCCAAAACCGATTGTTTTCTAGCGATTATAAGCATTCAAACAATAGAATAATGCCATGGTCTTGGGTTTGATTCCCAAGAAATGCATGATCTGACAAAATGTTTGTCTTCAATGTTTCAATCTTCAAAATTTCTTTAGATGAAAATGTCTGCCAAAGGCGGAAACATCTAGAGGGGAATGAGATGGATCAGTAGCTGATTTTACCTGTGACTGTATAGAGTGCTGTTATGCAGAGCAGGGCAATCACTGCAACATAGATATTCCAGCCAAGAGCCTGCTGTATAAAAACTGCTCCTGAGAACATGTCAACCTATGTTCAGCGAGAGAGTCATTGAGAGAATGAATTGGTGCCCTTTTTGAGTGTAACAAAGCGCGCATTATGATTCTTCAGTGTTTTATATTATCAAGACATGTATTTATACTTACGGAAATCTTTGTGAAGATGTAAAGCAAAAGTGAAATGACAGAGAGATACAAGCTAATTCGAGTCCCTCCAAATCTTTTCTTGAGGTACTGAGGCATTGTAATCACCTTTTGTAAAAAAAAAAATAAAAAATAGTCACTCATATTATTCAAATTAACATTTTTCATCTAAAATATCACCGCAAAAAATGAAAAATGTACATACCCCTGCAGTTAAATAAACAGGGACGAACACCCAGCCCAGCAACAAAACAATAAATAATGCCTGTGAAACAGAAATGCTTGAAACGAATAATTGGACTTTTAGACTTAGACTTTTACCAATGACAAAGCACGATACTTTTCTATATTTAAATATATAGCTTACATTCCATTCGAAACCCCCGACAGCGATTCCACTTGCAGCTGCTGTTCCTGCAAGACCAACAAAATGACCACTGCCAATGTTGCTCGCAAAAAGAGAAGTTCCCACCTATGTGTGTGGTGTGAGAGAAATACATACATAGAAAAAGGAGAACGCTTTAAAATAAGCATTGAAATCTTTAGATACAGTCACAACTTTTATTTTCATAGTGACAAAAGAGCGTGACAACATTTAAAAACTACACATTTTTTTTCAGTTTTTAATTAAGCTTATCATTATTAAAATTTAATATTTAATACTCACAGGCCACCATACCATGGTCCGACCTGCAAGAAAGTAGCCGCTTACTGTGCCACGATTAGTCCTAAATGTAGACTAAGATAAAAAAAAAAAGAATATTTCTTTTTACCACGTTCTACACAAATTAAAAACGTAGTTCTGTTAACAGACATGCAGTTGTTAAAATGTTAAAACACACAAGAACAAACTTTTACTAACCCAAATTCCTACTGCAATAACCACCATAAAGTAGCCAACGATTACACTGATGTCAGCTGGATTGTTGACGGTTACATGTTTCGCTGTAGTGTTTTCCATTTTTGAAGACAGACAGACACGATGCTGATATCATTTGTGAGGTGACAAAACATAAAGCATCCAACGGATGAGGCACTTGAGGAGGAAAACATTTCTTCATACAGGATTTGAGGGTAAAATCCATGATCTTTGCCCACATGGCAAAAAAAAGCTGATGAAGGAATATTATTAACAATCATTTACTTATTACTAGCCACTTAGAAAAGACTTTAAATGCTAAACTTACACCTTAACTAATGCTGTGGTACTTTTAGTAGAAAACAAAACAATGTAGTGCTTAAATTGTAGTACTTTAATTAAATAATTTTATGATTTCAAAAAAGCATATGAAGAAGCATTAACATTTTTTTTCAAAAGCAGAGAAACACCCTTGAGCAGACTATTCAAAATGTCATCATGAAAAAAATTGCAACTACTTAAAGTATTTTCATTAATAACATCATGTGATCATGCTTATTTCTTATGTATTAAAATAGACTTAACTTTGACTTAAATTTTTCATATAGGCCTTATTACAGTATTATACAAGCATAATTAGAGTAACAGGCTAAATTATGTGATAAAACATTATTTTGCATAGATTTTTTTATGCTGACATCAGCAGAATAGCATTTTCTTTTCTTTTTTAATTAACATGCTTGTTTCTCACCAACACCTAAAATAATGTTCCCAACAGTACAGTTCTAACCGTATTTGGAAATAACTAGAAGAGGAGGGATCAACTCTTTCATGGATGATCAGCTTGTGAATGCATCAGTTGTGTCACTAAGGTCTGGTTAATAATCCTGTACTTTGGTGTGTGACATTATCACTACTTCACTGCTTTTCAAATGCAACAACAGCTCACTTCTATTTGCAGGACAAGCAACAAAGGAACTTCTGTTCAATTTATTTAATGCAAGCCAGAGCACAGACTTTCCATTCAAACAATGTTCAATATTTGACAGTTGTAGGTCTTTAAAAACAAACAGACCTGTTTGACATCAGATGATAGTCTCTTTGTCTCTGCGAAAATGTTACTGTAAGACAAAATTACAATAACTTAGAAACAAAATGAAAACAATCATACAAAAAGCAGTCATTTGGTTTCTATTGCGAGTCTATGCTTTAAAACATTTCAGATGAGATGACCAGCTAAACCCAAAAAGATGCCATTAAAGCACTACAGATACGTATACTGATCCACTTCATTGAGGGCAAGCTGAACAGTGCGTTACAACGATGTGCAGAAAATCAATCACTGTCATCATTAACTCTTCCAGAGATGTCCAACTTCAAGTGGACTCCACAAAAATCACAAGATACTTAAGGACTATAACATGGATTGTGTTAATGTTAAGACTCATGTTTTGTTGCATTATTTGTTCAATGTTAGTTCAGTAATGTGAGATTAAAAGACAGAAATTTCAGTCAAAGAGAAAGTGTGTTTCTTGATTTCATTTGATATCGTTTTTTTTTTTTTTTTTTTTTTTTTAGTTTGTGTTTTATATTCCAATTATTATTATAATGTTTTTTTATTGTAATATTTTTTTTAGTTTTATATTTTTTTTAGTTTTTTTAGGTTTTTTTTATTGTCTATAACATTTTTATTCATTATTTTCGTTATTTCAGTTTTATTATCGCTATTTCAGTTGTAGTTATTTTAGTACATAAAGTTAAACTAAATGAAAATGAGAAATGCTGCCTTGGCAATTAATGAAATACATTTAAGTTTTGTTTATATTTTATTGCATTGCAGTTTAAGTTGCATTAAATAAGTATGAATTCGGGACAGTTATAGTAAATGCATTTGTGAATTACAGGTCATTTAAAATACAGTAGGGTTTGCAACATTAAACCTGAATAGCCTCATCATTTAGAATTACATAATGTTGTTCATCAGCGGTTATCATCTGGGTCTATCACTAGGCATGGGCCGATTACCGGTTTCAAGGTATACCGTGATTTGAAAATGTCACGGTTTCAAAACCACTAATATTTTTCGTTATACCGTTCCTGCGGTATGCACTGTTTTTCATGTCTCCTCAAAGAC